TGGACTTGGATTCTGGCAAGTTCTTTCGCAAGCAGTACCACATCGGTAATACATCTCACCTGGAGGGCACAAACCTAAACCTAAAGCTTGGGAATAAAAAAAAATTATATTATCATAAGCTATCATGTCTTGAACTTAAATCTACGTTTCAAATATAATACGTGCTTATAGATTTCCCCGAAAAATAGACAAAATGTATTATATAAATAAGGTTAATTTGTGTTCTTTCAGGATTTTTTAAAAATTTTTTGTTCAATTGGTTTAATGATAATTGTTAATTTATCATTGAAAATCATCCATTGCAAGCATTAAGTTTTCAAACAAAAACATGAACAAAAAGTAGACAACTGCTTCTATTATTTTTATCCTCTGTGGGGGTACTACAGACTTAAACTCAATATATGAATCAATAATTTTGAATGCTGATGCCCATTGATATTAATTTTTTTGATTAATTATTTGCGTTCTGCGTTGGATGAAAATTTATTGATGCCTCTTTGCAATTTTCAAAAAAAAATTTTTTGAACAGCGCGGGGCTTAAAGGTTTCCGGCTTAAAATTTCCACGACCAATATCTCAAAAACAAGTAAAGTTTTAACAACATCTCAAAACGTTTTCTCAAAAACAAGGAATTTTTTAACAACAATATTTGAAAGTAAAGGGTATATAGTATAACTAACCATTACCTCTATTCTTATTAAGTTGCCATTGGAAGATAAACGGCAATGTTTTAAAATACATTACAAAAGTTCATTTTTTGTTGTTATGTTTTTTGGTTATGAGCACTGTTGTTTAATCACGAGACCTCGATATAATTTTTAGGTATACGTTATTTAGTTGTTTTAAAAGACGTAGATATTTTTATTTATAAGTTAGATTCAATAACTTTTTCAATATACACTATATAAAAGCATACATGTGGGTGGGGTAGCTTTACATTGACAAAGATGTAAATAGAAAACAGTAAATAAAAAAGTAAACCAACCTAAATATAGTGCACTATACAAATATATACAAGCAAATAAAATAAAAGTGTAAATGACTGATGTACGTGTATACAAAGTCAACAAATAAACAATAAAAAAAAAACTAAAAAAGCAATTTTACAAAAGATCAGAATGTACCAGATATATATTATATACAAGTGTTATCTTTGTAAAATTAAATTTATATTTTGCATTGCTTGAATAACGCAGCTCTTATTTTCTAAAATATTTTCACAATTTGACATAAGACATCAGTTAGCCGCTGGATTTGCAACATTTTGCCCCGCCTATGGGGTAAAAAAAATCAGATGATATATTTTTGAAAAAATAGCAAAATAAACACTTATACAGTGATGATGATTTAGCTAGGGGTTTTACTGAATATAGTAAAATAGTTGTTTGTTTTGTAAGGTATTTATAGTGGTGTAATTGATGGTTTGGTTTTCACAGTATAATTGCCAAAAGTAAAAATTGACCTTTTTCCCCCGCTATTTTTTTCTCAAATAAAAAAAAATTCAAAAGTAAAAAATGTTTAATGTTACGAAAACTTATATAAAAATAAGAAAAATATTTACTATTAATACTTCAGGCCATAATTTGGCACAATAATGGCTTGAATTTTAAAAGCACACAAATCTTCATTGAAAATGCAAAACAACTATGCCTTGAAAGTTGTTACAAAATTTAACCAAATCTAAACTAATTTTGTGTAACCACCAAATTCAAATATTTTCATTTTTTCACTTGTGAGACTGAAATACGATAATGGACTTGGATCTGTTTTATTTTTTGTCCCAATAATACTCTATTTTCTAAACAGCATTGAATCTAAAAACTAAGTAATATTAAGTATTATTAAGAATTAAAAAAAATACTAAGTAAATATTAATTACTAAGTGTCAATAAAAAATAATGAAATAAATTTGTTGATAAAAACATAAACTACTTTTCACTTAATATTTACAAATAATATTACATACTTGCTGCTGATATTAAATCAAACAGAACAAAAGTGAATATGATTAATATCGTCAACCACTTCATTTTTAACTAATTTCTTTTTAATACTGACGATATTAAAGTATCTACTAATGTATTTATTTAGACATGAGAATTGTTAAAAAAGTAATTAAATATGAATGACGTGCGACTCTGTCACCTTGATTTTATAATTGATGTTTTTTCAGATATATAAATGTAAAATTTACAGTTATAATATTAAATCACACTGAATTGTGATTAAATATGGTTATGGGATTTTTGCTCTACTGTTATAAAGAATCAAAACATTAACAAAAGAGCTGGAAGAATCCTACAGTTTTCGTATATATCAAAAATTAAATTTTGAGATTTGGATTAACTTTTCAATACATACAGAAACTGTCGACTTGAAATAATTATTAATATATTTAACTTATTATCTAATAACAAGTTATAAAATATAAATTTTCAGTTAATAATAAATACAGTTTCTAGTTCTTTTAATATTTCTATTCAATTTGTTTTACCTTATTTATTAAATTTCTATCACATAATACTTAACGCCGAATGCAGGACCAGGTGTCTCAATGCCAGTATATGAAATTAATGTTCATTATATTATTTATTTCTCATATGAGTGACATCACTAGCTAATACTTTTTTAACGTTTTGAGCTCTCGGTTTATATAATTTGAACACATAATTGTCCTGTTAATTTCATCAGATATGATTTATGAAAAAAATACTCATAGAACTAGTACCATGCAAACAATTTGTTATATGACAATTTAATCGCATTGTGTTTCAATATTTTTCCTATCGTTTATTTAAAACGTAAATAAATTTATAAATAATAACATTATTAGTACGAATGATGACATCAAGGTTTTCAAGGTAAATCTTAATTAGGTATTTAAAAAGTACTTTGCTTCACTCTGATTTGCTGACGTATTTTAATATGGATCTTATACTCGTAGTATATAAATTCAGTAAAATATCAAACAAGAGTCTAATTGTTAAACAAGAACAACAATAGATCAAAATAATTTTAATATCAATTTATTAATTATATTAAATTAATCTAATCTCTTAAATTAATTCAATAATCTTAATTTGCAAATTTAAAGAAACATTTTAAACTGTATAGAGCTACTTGAGAATAAACTGAAACACAAAGAATTATAACATAATATTTTAAAAAAAAATTATAAAATAATTTATTTATTTATAAACGTGTTAAATTTGAGCTGGTAAAACTACTAGTAAAATTAGATATTCTCATAATCCCATCTTGAATGAATGAATGAGCGCGTAACATTTCCATTATACTTCACCTTTTAATTGCAAGGTTTTAAAATTGCGGACATCTTCTTTCAACTTAGATTAAAAATTAAGAAGTTAGAATATAGAATTTATATACAAAAAAATTGGTGGTCATAACGTAAAATCATTTTTGAATGAATTTTTATACTAAAATATTAAACAAATTTGCAACATAGAAACACTAAATAAAAATATAAAAAACATTATTTATTGGTCATTTTGATTGAATTGATGTGGAAGTCTGTTATGTTATGAGTTAGCATTCAATGTAGTATATTTGTAAAAATTAAACTATCGATAGTATACGCTCTATATAAACATTTACTATTTTTAGCGTAGTAGATGGGAAATAATTCATTTAAAACTTCTAATCATGATATTTAGGTTTTTTTGTTATTATATACTTAATAATGTCGATAATAATTTTCAGTGGTTTGTAAGGCTAACTAATTTATAAAATTCTGTAATGTACTTGGAAGTTATTTTTAAGATATGAGTCGACGTTGCTAAATCTATCAAATTTTACCAGTTTACCTGTACACCAATATACCTGTAAACCAATATCAATTAACATATCAGTCTACCAATCAGCAATTCACCTGCCTATCAATTTACCTATCTACCAATTTACCTTTTATCAAACAGTTTATCAATCCACCATTTTACCTGTCTACCAATTTATCTGTCAACCGATATACCTGTTAACCAATTTACCTGTCATCCCGTCTTATATGTTTACCAATTTACCTGTAATCCCGTTTCACATATTTGCCAATTAACCTGTAAACCCATTCATAGTTGTTCTGTCTACCATTTTACATCTCCTCCAATTTATATGTACACTAGTTTATCTATCAATCAATTTACCTATCTTTCTGTTTATCTGTCTACGTATATATTTATCTATTTAAATATTTATCTCATTACCTGTCTGCTAGTTTACTTTTTACCAATCTGCTAGTCTACATATTAACATTTAATTAAAAAAGATATAATTAGTATGATATTTTTTACAAAATAGGGGTTTGTGGTCTTAGGTTGAAAATTTAGGGTTATAAGTGTTCTTTTAAATACGCAATATAAAAGAAATAAAAAAATAAAAATTGACCAAAAATAATTAAAATTTTTTTTTTGGAAAACCTCTCCGGGAATTTACGTAACAATTTCCTAAATTTTCACGGCGTTTGGTCGTATGGTTAATAACAACTGCGCGCACACACATACAGACATACATACATTTATTAATATATATACATATTGTACATATTGTATATATATATATATATATATAACCGATATATATATATATATATATATATATATATATATATATATATATATATATAGAACAAAGTAAGTAGATATTACTTTCGAACTCAGTTCACAACAACTCTGAGCAACATATAAATAAACAATGATTTAGTGTTCCATATTTCTTTTAATACATACTAAATTCGAAATGGTGCTCTTAAGATGATAAAATACATTTTATGTGTTGATAAATTATTTAATCATGACTTACATTTATAGATTCATTATGATATGAGATTTATATGCTTACGTTTGAAATGGTTTTGCGGTTAAGAAACTCAAATTTTCTTGTTGTTACACTAAACTAAATGGTTTGTAGGGTATCACACAATAACGGATAAACACATATTGTATATACATTATCCAATTCATTATTTAAAATAAAGATGTTATGGCATTTTTAATCAAAGCAGGGGAATGTGCAATCGCATTCCTCAACGCAAGCTCCATCCCAACGTCGTACGTATCCTGGCAAACATCGGCAAACGTTCAGGATGCACTGCCTCGTGCAAGGACGTGGTTCCGGATCTTCGCACGTTAGCTCGCATGCAGTTCCACACTCCCAAAATCGTTCGTTTTCATGACATTTTGCTAAGGAAAAAATAAATATTGACATAGTAAAATAATCTATTGATAATAGTGATAAGTAGCAAAGTTTTTGTTTGAGAAGATTTGTCTGTTCCATATTATATTACATAAAAGAAAAAGTGAGTATATAAGATTTTTGTATACCTATCATTTGATACTAGTACAATTCATTGATATATAACATTTGAAAAATTATTGATTGTATAAATTAAATAAATTAAATAGATAATGGAAAAAAATCACAAAAAACCATATTACACTGTTGATTTTTAGAGGTGTCTTATAGTGTTAATTATTAAGAATGACTGTCGGTAGGTTGTAATTGTTGTACCAAAACATATCTTGAGTTATAGATCCAATATCCGTAATAGTTAGGTTATTACTATGCTTGCATTTTTCAAAAAAAATTCTTGCTTGCTTTTTTATAATTTCATATATAAATGGTATATTCAGCCGTTTGAAGTGATAAGGTTTCTCTTTATACCGAGTATCATTCTCAATGCTTTATTTTGTATAGTTTGTAATTTATTTATGTTTTGTTTATTGGTTATACACCACGCAGGGGCTCCATAGGTTAAAGTTGATCTTACCATTGCTAGATAAAGTCTTCTCTTAATCTTCAGATCAATATTGTTGCTAAATTTTAGTAAGGGGTACAATAAATATAATAATCTATTAGCATGATTAACTAGTAGCAAAGTCAAAAAGATGTAATTTTGAGAACCCAGTACATACTTCGAGATTCGGTTTTCCAAATCCATCTTACAATTTATAGTCAGAATTAATATATATGCTATAGTTATAGCTATTATGTGCTATAATTATAGATTATATTCTTTATTCTATCTGAACAGCAATCAGAATTACAGCAATCAGAATTACAGCAATCAGAAAGCCAATGTAAAAGCAAGACCATGTTATGAAAAACTTTTCATACAAAATATTGTCAAAAGCCATGTAGTTACTATGCTGTCAGGCGTTTTTTTAGGTTGTCAGATTGAAAACCTAACCTAGACCGCACAAATGTCAATAAAACTATCTTAGTTAACAGAGTCTTTCTGATCCTGCTTCATAACATACAAGTGACGTTGCAGTTTATGTGTAAAACGCATGAAAATACATGACATTTTGACAGTATTTAGTATAACTCAGTAGCATAATGTATGGAAGTTGGAGTCTAACATGGTCTTGCCATTGTAGAAACAATTCCAACAATATTTTCCAAGCATATGTTAGTTTGGGTATTTTCTATAATGGAAATGCAATAAAATGAGAAATTGTAAAACCTATCAATCTTCTATGCAAATATGACACATTCATAAATTATACTAATATAATAAAAATGTTGCAATTTAAATTAGAAAAAAATAAATTAAATTCTGATGTGATATTTTATTGGGTAGTTATATAATATTTATGGCAATTTTTAAGAAATGTTGGAACAATATGATATAGTTATCTTATATTATATTATTCCAAATAAAGTTAGAAGATTAAATTTTTAAATGAGCTGGTTTATGAAATCCGTGTACCAGTGTTCTTTCTAGCGCAGTCATAAATATATATCATTTTTTAAGATTACTTACAATTAGAAAGTTTATGCAAAAGTGAGTCATTTGATGGTTCAAAATTACTTCATGCTCAAAATAAAAGCATTGCTTCTTGCTATGCATATTTGATGTAAAAGCAAAAATAATTAGGTTTGCTAAAATTTGTTTATCACTAGTTTATATTTCAAGCAAAGTGTTCGATTTTATAGTTTCTAACAACTTCACTTCATAGAAATGATTTTTAAGCAATTTATTTATTAAATTCTATTAATATTATTAATAATATAAATAAATTAATAACAATGATTTAATCATTTTTTAAGATTCAGGCGCATAAGATTAATATTTATTTCATAAAAAATATTTTACAGCCAAATTAATTAACACACAAAATAATTGACACAAATCGTTTTTACACACAAATTAATTAACTTAAATTATTATTTAGAAGTAGTATACAGAAAATTTCGTGTACTCACAAAAGGTTTAAAGTATAATTTTTAGAATACTCAAAATAAAATATGAGATGCAAATATAATATAATATAGTATGCTATACCTGCATAAGTTAAACCAATCAACGAAATTAGACATAACACAAGCAAAAAACGCATTGTAACTATAAATTGATTAAAGTTAATTCTGTAAATTAACAATGCGAATCTCAATTTCAATCTATTTTTTTTCTTTCGGCGAGTTGTGCTATATTTATATACATACATTATATTTGTTCAAGTGGATCAGAGATACGCATGTAGACATTGCAAACATTTAATGAATTAATAAATAATAATGGTCTGATCAACTTGTATTGGATTTATTTATTGTTTTTGTTTAAAGGTAACTATATACATTATAATGATTTCAATAACTAATGTGATAATGAATGAATATTATGATTGCTTATTAAACAATTTACCTCATTTTGTTTTTATTCATTTATTAATATACAGCAATCGGATCAGTAATTATATTCTATGAGCTGTTATGCTAAGATGTATAAAACAAAAAACTAAATAAGAATAAATAAAGATAACAACATAAAAATAGTAAATAATATAAATAACAATAGATAATAATAAACAATAGAATAATATAATAATACTACAAAAAATAAATTAAATTAACTATTATATTTTAATGATTTAGTAAAAAATATAGAAATTGTTTCATTAAACAACCTCAAAGACAACAATATTTTGATGGTTTAGTCTCTTCACTAGTAAAATATTGTTTTTTTTCAGATTCTATACATTTATCAAACAAATATATTTTTTATATGTTTCTAAAATAGAAATATCTATTTCATTCAAGTCACAATTTTTTTTTAGAGATTTAATTCAAATTGATTAAATTCAATGACAATTTGCCATTTTAACGCATCGGCCATCAGATCTTCGAACATATCCTTCTTTGCACTGGCAGACATCCAAAATACATTCCGCCGTACAGATTTTCGGGTGAGGATTTTCACAACTGGGTTCACAACTTGATCCACATTTCAGGAATTCTTCATTCACAGGACAACGATTTGATGACTTAAATCCTGAATATTCAAATCATAATTAGTAACAAGTTTGCTTAACTCATATTCATAATAGCAACTATTTATATAAAAAAGTTACAGATCATATTGACGGCTCATTATTTTTTGTCTGTCGCCAATTTTTTTTTAACTCTGTTTTATTTAGCAATCAGAAATACATAGAGATTCCTATGCGCTAAATTGACAATATTTAACAGCGATATCTAAGAAGAACTCCAATGAGATCTTCTTAGTTTAACAATTAATATGATAATATTATATTAGAGCTAATCTAAGACTAAGTCTAACGGCCAGTGTCGTTTCAATCTCCTTATGCCAAAAGGTTGAGTAATGTCAACTATTGATGGGTTCGAATGTGTCGTCAATTCTACATTGATTAACAAATATGAAAAGTCTATTTATTTTTTATTTGTTATTTTCCTAATCTTTACTAATATTAAATTTTATGTAAAATTTCACTGAAATCCGTATGTATTTTTTCACTTTTAATTACAGATAATCAAAATTTAAAAATGTTCTTTAAGTCTGTGTGCTAATTGAAATCACGTTATAGACCATACTAAATACATCAAAATTGAAATCGAAAATGTAAGGTGCGTGATATTAAAAGTGACGAATTAGCAAACTAACTAATTATATCAACTTGCAGAGTTAAGTTCAGCAAAAAATAATCGTTAATTAAAACAAATATAAATCATATAAGGCATTCACTAATTTAGTAGAATATAAAATAATAGTTCAATTTTTAAATAAAAGCAAGGATTTCATTAGTAGTAGAATTTTATCATTCTTATAAATTCTCGCTCTTAATTAAATTAGTACCACCAATTTCACGGGCAATAAGTTTTTATAACGTATTTTTTTTCTCCTTTGATAAAATGTTGTCCAATAAATTAGAAAAATATATACAGCAATTTTTTAGTAATTTTAGTTAATGAATTTGCAAGTATTAATATTAATAATAATAAATTTGTTAGTTTGTGCATGTTTATACCTTTGTACAAGTCTTCTGAATCTGAGAGTGGAATATATACTTTGCCACATCCACACATCTTTGCAACGCATTAACACTGCATTTGCTTGAAATTTGATGACCTCCCAAATGTGTCCCTCCAGCTCCGTCAACTAACCCACTTGATAATCCTTTAAGTGATTTGCTCAATATTGCAACTATAGTTTATTACCAAAACTACATTAATATGATATTCATTGAATATTGACACATCTTATATATAAATCTATAATATAAAAATGAATCGCAAAATGTGTTGGTAACACATAACTCAACAACGCCTGGACCAATTTGGCCAATTTCTTTTTTAAAATATTCGTTGAAGTCCAAGGATGGTTCTTACGGCAAGAAAAAATCGAACAACTGCCAGGAACACCCTAAAAACTGCCCTTTTCTTTATATATTTTTATATAGGGTAGAGCGAGGCTTAAAGTTCCGCAGTAGAAAGGTTTACCACCAATATCTCAAAAACAAGTAAAGTCAGAAAATGTTCAACAATAATATTTAAAAGTAGAGGGCAAAAGATGTATAACCAGCCATCACCTTGATTCTTACGACCTTGTTATCGGGAGATGGACGGCAATGTTTGAAAATCCATAACAAAAGTATTTTATTTTGTTGTCAGCGTTTTTGTTGTGAGCACTGTTGTTTAGTTTACGAGACGTAAATATAAAATTTGAGTATACGTTATTCAATTGTTTTATAAGATCTATTGTTGTTTTCATTATAAACCTTTTTTATATAACCTATGTATAAATACTTACATGTGTGGGGGGTAAAAAATGACCAACTGAACCTGTATCCTGGTAAAGGTGAGAACAACAAAAAATATTAAATAAAAAAGTAATTTATAGTAAAAAAAGTAATTTTACCAGAGATTAATTGAATAAATAGCTATTCCCATTCTGCTGATAAACATTTCTGACAAAATACTAGATCGAGGTTATATACAGTGCTATCTCTGTAAAAAATGTACCCATGGAATTTAAATTATGCATTATAGCTAATAATTTCGTAAAAACTTTCGTAAAAAAATATTTCGTAAAAACCTTTTAAAATTAAAATATAAGACATTGGATTCGTTTCCTCCTTGGCAGTCTCATTTTACCCAGCTAATGATGAAAAATTTTAGAAAAATAATAAAAAACACATGTCTATAATTAAGAATTTTCTAGGAATTTTACTGAACATAGTTTGATAGTTGTTTCTTTGATAGGCGTTAGGTGTTGTGAATCATTTGATTTCGACAGTATATTTGCTTAAAATCAAATTACATTCAAAAAATTGAAAAGTCATCAATGTGTATTTTTATATTAATATTTTTATATCTATTCTTAGTATATATTAAAACTTATTTCATGTATAAAATCAATTTGATCAGAATTATTTTTTATCTTATTATAAATTTTACTTACTTTTACCAACACTGCACGCAGTGGAAATAATGCAGATAAAAAACATGACAAATATAATTGAACGCATCTTAAACCGAATAATTATTATTATAATGAATAATTTTTAATTACCGTTTGAAATAAATTTATCACTGATTTTATTATTATGGGTACAGTTTTTATATAGCCACACGTCCACTAATTATTCGGATGTGTAATTTGGTAAGAATTTTGAACATGTAAACATGAAATATAGTTTGCGTTAATGGTATTGCTTATTTTTTATGCAATTAATACGTCGTAGAAATGTTACGTGCTCAATAAATAGTTTTCTATTTAAATCGTTTAATAGCAGATCTTATACATATCTTATACGAATCCTATGGCAAAAAATCCAGAAAGGTTTAGCGCTGGTCAGTTAGAAATTTGAGGATATCAGTTTGGTTTGTTAATATTTGATTAAGTTTTGAAAACTTATAAGTTTTTTAGTTTGCAAATTGTTAAGTTTACTATTCTTCACCAAATTGACTCATTTTTTTTTTTATTTTTTTTTTAATTGTTTATATGGCATTTAACCAGTTACATTCATACATAATAATAATTATAACTATATTTAACAAATGTACCATAAACCTATTCTTTTAACAAAGACTCATTTTGTTCATCTTGCAAGTGTTTATATAAGATATTGTTTCAGTAAGAAAGAACAATTTATATTTCTGTATCTAGAGCTATTTTAAATATATGGAACATTTTATCTAAAAGTATCTAAGTGAGAAATTATCTAAATTGATAATTTAATCAATAACATTTTATCCGGAATTTCGTTAAGCTGCAGTAAGCATTAGGCTCTGTAATCTTGCTGTACAAAGTTTCTGGACAAAGTGATATCGAGCAGTAGCAACAGATATTTTTCTTGAAAATATAGACCGTTTTATGTTTTTAAGATAAAATGGCTCTCTCAACATTAATGCAATAATTTAAAATATATCATCATCACTATTAAAAAGGTCAACACTGGGCAGCCTTATGCCGATCAACGTCAATAAAACATTTCATCCAAAAGTTTTTTATATAATACTATACAATATGATAAGAATGAAAAAGGTGCTTTTCAAAGATATATTTATTATTATTTCAGAACAAATTTTTGAAAATTGCCTGGGGAGCACCAAAATATGTCCCTAACATTGCATAAATATGGAAACAAGCTGAACAGTCATCCAAAGGGTATGGGCGTGTTTCCATACAGAATTGGCCCCACCCTGGTATTTAAATAATTTTGATGCCATTTCATAGGTATTTTTGAGAAAATCCGATATACCAAATTTCAAATCCGTAGCTTATCATCTGGCCGAGATATCATTGAAAACATGTGAAAGTGCCCCCTTTTTTCAAAGTCGTTTTTTGTCGCAACTGTAAGAGATATCGACAAACAAATAACGGGACTTTATTCATATTGGTGTGTACTACATTATTAATGACAAATATTGTTAAATAATTATTTTTTAGTGCATGAAAAAGTGAAAATAACTTTTTAAATTTTCGGGTAGTGCGGTTGTTTTGACTAATTTTTACTTAGCACCATTAGAAAAGCTATTGAATTTTCTTTCAGTGTGCAAAATTTTGTTTTATTTCATGTGGTAGAACACATTCAAAAGTAGGAAAAACCTGAGCAAGTACACGCTCGCGCTCATATAGAACCCGTGTAAGTCGTCTCCCATTCGCAACGACTAGCAACAGTATTGCTCGCCGCGCGTCTTCATAAATTAAAACATTTTTAATAACACATAAGATATATACATTTATATTTTAAATATTTATATATTTATATGTATATGTATGTATAATAACTATATTTTTATATAATTAAATATTTATTATTTACATATTGCACAATTTATTATATGATTTAATCATCATTAATAATGTATTAATTAATTATTACTTATTAATTAATTATTAATGCCACTAAATAAATAAAAAATGGATTAATAAAAAATATACATAATAATAGTATATCGGTATATGATTACTAGTCATGCCACAGCATCAAACTCCTTACTAATAGAAAACATCATCGTAGACTGAAGAGAAAATCGCCATTTGATTTTAGTTATCAATTTTCCAGATGAAGATTAAAATTACTTAGTTATTATTCATAAAACATGATTTATAAGGAAATAGTTAAGTTTTTTTTATTATGATTAAAATATTGTTAATATTATTCATAACGAATTATTGAATTCTTTTTCCAACACTATAATATACAATGTCCTTATTGCGTCTGGTAATTGCATATCAACAAATTTATTGAATGTCCTTCACTGGACAGTTGTAAATAAAGTAGTGAATAAAAAAAAAATTTATTTTTATTTCTCTCAAAATGTCCAAAATTTTGTATTATAATTAACAATTAGGCTTATTGTTAGTTGTTAAATGATTAGTTTTTTTTAACAATATCGTTCTTCAACACATTGTCCATCATATCGTCTCACGTATCCAGGTTTGCATTGACATACGTTTAATATACATTGCATTGTGCAGATTTCGGGCCGAGGATTTGCGCAAGTCGGTTCGCAAGCTGTGCCACACTCCCTAAAATCTTCATTAGGAGGACACTGGTTCAAAGTTCCTAGAATTGTAAATCAGCAGCAGGGTTAATTCATACTATAATTTTGTTTTATATATTAAATATAACTGCGAGAAGTTAATAAATATATATAAATAATCAATAGGGTAGGGCTTGGCACAAAGATACAATTTGACTTTTAGTAAGTATACTGTCTAATCTAAATCTAAACCAACATACAACATGTATGTTGGTTTAGAATCAACTATCTAAATATGATCAATACAATTCCCAGTTAATCTGTTTATTATTTTATTTATATCATGACTATTTTTCTAAAATTTGTCATTTGACCCTTTTCAACTCATAAGCGAGGTAAAATGGGGCAAAGCTGGCGCAAACTAATCCATTGTAGGATTTTACGATTTAAAGAGATATTACTAATGCGAATTATAAATTTTATTGGTACATTTTTCACAAAGATTACCCTGTATATAATCTTGATATGGTATCTAGTTAGAAATATTTATCAGCAAGAGTATTTATTTAATTTATCTCTTGTAAAATTGCTTTTATAACTTAATTTACTTCTCAATTATTTATTGTTTACACCTTTCCAGGGTGAACGTTTAATTGGTTTTTCTTATCCCACTCACATGTAAGCTTTTGGAGAGGTTATATAAAAAAACACTTAAAAATAACAATACTAAATCTTATACAACAATTGCATAACGTATACTTCAAAATTATATTTGTTAAGGATGGTGGGTTGATTAGACCCTTTCGGAATAGCTTTTTGTGTTTTGATTCAATAGCTATTCTGAAGATTACATAAAATTGAGTATATTAAGGAAATAATTGAAGTTATCTGCTTGGAAAGCCGCCCAATTGGATTGCTACTTGAAGTCCGAAACTTTCAGCTCGCTCTCGAGATTGGATGCTGAGGAAGGAATTGACTCCAAAAGCACAATAAGGAACAACGGAAAAACAAGTAAATCCCCTTGCAAATGAATAAACAAAAAAGCTCATGAACGATTATTATAAATGATTAGCGCTTATATACAAATTTTCTCC